CAGAAATTTCCAATTTCCCGACTTCAATCTAGTCTCGCCACATTTTGAAGCTTATTTTGCATATTTATCTGCCAACTCATTCCCTCTTATTCCTATATGTGACGGTATCAATGTAAATATAACTAATAAACCCATTGCTTGAATTCTATAAGTTATTAACTGAATTTCTAATAAAAGATCCGGTCTACTAGTAGCGTGATTATTTTTCAATGAATATAATGAAGAACTTGAATCAGAGCAAACTATGCTTCTTAATGGACGGACTTCCTCAATCCATCCTAAAGCTAAAATAATTCCCACCATCTCTCCGGTATAAACTGATACTCCATCAGTAATTCTTTTACATTTTTTAACTCTGAATTCTGGAATAATGAAAGACACCCCATTACTGTTATTTGAGTTTTTAGACGCATCTGTAAAAACTTGGACATATCCATAGTACTTATCTAAATATGATTGAACCAAATATGGATCTGAAATGTTTTCTCCTTTCCTTTTCTCCAAGAAAGTCAAATCAACAACATTATTCTGAAATAGAGACGGATAAACTGGCGAAAGAGGAACTGTTTTACTAATATTTATATCAGATAAACCAAAATCTTTTATAATATTTTCTATCTCCCATCCAAAAGAATTTATTTCTTCTTTTCTTTTTCCCAACTAGATTTTAAAATTTCTTGACATGGATGATTTCCTTCATGGCCCTTTAAATTACACCAATAAGTGGTCTTTAACTGTAATCTTCTGAGATTAAGTGGCATCTCTCCCATTTCTATTAGCAAAGCTGAAGTTGGAGTTGTTCTAACTGCTCCTGTACATAACCTCAAGGCTTGATACTGAATACTATCTAATTTTTTTAATAGTGTTTCTGATGCTGATCCAAATACAATAATTCCATAATCAAATACAGACCTTATTAACCCAGTATATACTGATTTCAATGCCTTCCTCTCAGCACCCCATTCACTTCCCACCAAACACCTCATTATATTTAAAACTCTCTTACACTTATTCAGAACTTTTTAAAATTGATTTTTCCAAGTTAGTTTTTCATCCGACCATAAACCCAAAAACTTAAATTCCCTTACCCTTTCTAATTCATGATTATATATTTGCAGTTTTAAATGTTCAGTTACTTTCTTCCTTGTAAAAAATAAAGTCTTTGTTTTGTCTATAGAAATTTTAAATCCCCATTTAAATGACCAGTGTTCTATAATACTAATTGCTTCTTGTATCTTTTTAACAATGAATTTTAAATTTTTCCCCCTCTTCCATATTGCTCCATCATCAGCAAATAAAGAACACCCCATTCCACTCTCCAAATTGTCAAACATATCATTAATCATAATAGAAAAAAACAAAGGACTCACTATACTTCCCTGAGGTGTACCATTCTCAACAAAAAACTTTTCTGACAATTGTTGTCTTATTCTTACTTGTATTGATCTATCTTGTAAAAAATCTTTATCCAATAAAACATTGATCCGTTAATTCCCATTTTTTCCAATTTAATTAAAAGTCCATCTTTCCACATCACATCATAAGCTTTCTCTATATCAAAGAAAACAGCCACTATACTCTCCTTGTTAACTTGCTCTTTTCTGATTTCATGTTCTAAACATAGTAAAGGATCCATAGTGCTTCTCCCTTTTCTAAACTCTCACTTTGACATTTTGAACATCCCCTCTTTTTCTACAAAGTAGCTCAATCTTTCATTTACCATTCTCTCCATTATTTTACAAATATGAGAAGTTAATGCAATGGGTCTGTAACTTGCTGGATTTGTCTGCTCTTTACCTGGCTTTAAGATTGGAACTATGATTGCTTCTTTCCATGCCAGAGGTAAAATACCCACTTCCCATAACTTATTATAGAATTCCAATAAAACCTTCTTAGATGAATTGCTAAGCTTATTAACCATAATATAAGATATACAGTATTATCTTTTCCTGGAGATGATTTTTTTTATTTTCCTAAGGCATTGTTTAATTCAAATAAAGAAAAAGGACTATTCAATAAATCATTATTTCTTACATTTTCTTCTAATAAATTTACATTTTCATTAATTGTACAAGTTCTTCTGCGGTTTTCTTCTGCGCTTAAATTATTACAACTATGAACTGTAACAAATTTTTTAACTAACAAATTTGCTTTCTACTCCTCAGTCACAGCAATAACATTTCCATCTTTCAGAACTGGATATCCATATTCCCTTCTAATTCCATTCATTCTCTTTATCATTCCCCAAACTTTTGAAATCTTTGTTTCCCTACCTACAGAATCACATAAATTACTCCAATAAACCTTTTTGTCATTTTTCACCGTTCTTTTAACCAGAGCTTGTGACCTTTTATATTCAATAAAATTCTGAAAATTCTGATTTCTCTTTAACAATCTAAAAGCTTTATTTCGAGATTTAATTGCGCCATCACATTCCTTCGTCCATCATGGTACAATTTTCTTCTTGTATTTTCCTTTTTTCCTTTGGATTGTTTCCCGAGCGGTTCCTAAAATGGCTTCACAAATAGAAGAATTTACCATATCAACATCCAAATCTATATTAACTTTTTGCATCTCTTCATCATTTATTATTTTATATTTTTCCCGATCCCAACATTTCCAAATATCCATCTTTCTAAGTTCTCATTAACAATTTTTCCTATTTCTTTACCAATTTCAATAAATATTGGGTAGTGATCACTACCTATAGTTGCTTCTCTTAATATTTTCCACTTACTAATCCCGGCCAAATTCTTTGAAATTAAAGTTAAATCTAACGCTGATTCTGATCCTGTCACGTCTGGTGTCTCGTCATGTCATGATTACCAATTGTGTGCACCT